ACGACTTAGTAGTTAGTACAGTACAAACTTGATTTTTTTCTGTAGAATAAAATAAATATAATTTGGCTTCATACAAATATTGTGCTTTCAATCCTTTACACTGTAAGTGGGCAGTATGAATATACATTCGTAAACGTATAGTGTTATTACAAAAAAAATATATGGAAGTTTCTTTTAAAGACAGACACAACTTTACTTGACCCGTAATAAGGAAAGCAGATTCCTATACATTATGTGTATGTGTTTTTGTATTTTCTGATCGCAAGATCAGTAAATACATAGCTAACATCCACGGTCTAACACAAAATTTCCTCACAGACCTAACAACGCAAAGTAGTTCTCACTCAAAACTGCTTAAAAACCAGCAATTTAAAGAAATAATAATTTTTAATGTAGGCATTGAACGAATTACAGTGCATTAAAAGTTTACATTAGTCAATAGAAATATGAGGTTACAATCACAAATTTCGCGGATGAATATCTTTTTTACCCAATGAAAAATGTTCCACTATTTCCGTAAAGCTTAATCAATGAAAATGCTATTTTTAGCTATGTCGATTACCGAATACTCCAGAGCGTAGCACACAAATCTGACTGTCGAGTAATGGAATATATACATGTCGGACTGTTTTGGCGAGAAGATTTTCGCTAAATTATTTTCATCAGTGTTTAACAACAGGTTTATCGTGAACAAAATACCTCGAAATAAATAAGGATTACAAATACGAAATGAAAATTCTCAATTTTAGAATTACAATATATTTCTTTTTATTCACGCTACATACGTATTACTTCACTGTGGTGCAGAGGTAGCGCGCTCGTTTAGTGTGTGAGAGGCCTAAGGTTAAAATCCTTGTCGAGGCAACATTTTTTTTGAAGTGGCTTTTTTAAGGAAGTTGCCACGATATGCAAGGATAAAGTGTGGCTGTAATAAAAAATGAAAAATGATTTTTGATGCAACTCTAAGCATGCAAAATTCCATATGTATCAATCACAAACTGCATGTTAAACGCAGTCCCTGCGTAAGATGAATAATAGTATATAAAATAAACTTATACATGAAAGATCAGAAAATACCACAGAGCATGCAGCCCTTTGATTATTTAAATAAAACATATTTAGTAAGAATTTTATAGATTTCAAGAAATTTCTGTGATAAAATATGTTACTGAAAGATGTGCATAGTATATCATTAAGCACAAATGTATGTGAATGTGGTGGTGTGTGCGGGATGTCTGATCTATAATCAGACACACATATGCCCAACATATGAGCCGCGTCACGACAAAACCAACAGAATGGGTTTGCGACCAGCATGGATTCAGACCAGCCTGCGCGTCCGCACAGTCTGATCAGGATCCATGCTGTTCGCTTTCCAACTCTTTTACAAGTAGAGAAACTGGCAGCGAACAGCCTGGATCCTGATCAGACTGCGCGGACGCGCAGGCTGGTCTGAATCCATGCTGGTCGCAAACCCATTATGTTGGTTTTGTCGTGACGCGGCTCATTTGTAATTGACTATGCACATGTTACAAAAATAAACAACTTCCTTCTTTCCTTATGTATACATGTATATTTTAATGCGTTACATACCTATTCGCCACTACTAGTGCCTCTGAGACATTTATTAAGTTAAAAGGCCAATAATTTTTGCTTTTTAATGTCCAAGTCATTAGATAAGACCTTCGCAGTACCTAGGCAGGTGCTAGACAACTGGATGACAGCATAATATGTTTTGGTAAGGGAATACACTAAGAAGACGATTGCATGAAACTGACACGTATATATTCCACGTATATTTGGGGGTAGGTGCAGCCCTTAAGCCAGGGCCTGAAACCGCCACTGACTGTACGTGTAACTGCCCCATTGCATCACTTTTTACGAGCATATTTTTTTTCTATTAGACTGTATACATATATAAAATTATATTGCATAATCCTTTACTACTTGTATTTATATTCTTTCAACTGCAATGTATGTATTAAACGCTTAGTACGTATTTATATATACATGTACGCAGTATCTATACGGAAAATTCCGATGATAGGCGAATCGTGGAAAAAATTCCGTTGACATCGATAACAGAGTTCTCGCCCCTTAACAGTACATAGTTTTAATTGTTTATCATAATGTAAGATGATCAAACATTATCCACAAAGCCTCAGACACCGAGCTTTATTATGCATAAACACTGCATAATGGATATAAGCGAAAGCTAATAGTAATCACGCCATGCGAGCTATAAGTCATATTTTAAAAAATCCATCAGGGAACATTAAATAGTTATTTTAAATGACTTATACATAAAAGTAATACAAAAAAAACTAAACCGTAAATGGTTTGTATAGAGCATGAAGAAAGGTAGCTTATGCGTAAAGTTATAAGACGTTAACATTTTAGTATTCCAAATGGCTTGTTCCAGTTGATTAGTTATCACTCAATGAAAGAATTGGTGACTACGAAATGTTTGAATGAAATAACGAAAAATGGAAACCAGCATAATGCAAAGTTTAAATATCATAAAGCAAGATGGAATCAAGAATAATGCAAGTTCTAATGTCATGTAGCAAGATAGAATTAAGCATAATGCAAGTTCCAATGTCATCAAGCAAGATGGAGTCAAGCACAATGCAAGTTCCAATGTCATCAAGCAAGATGGAATTAAGCATAATGCAAGTTCCAATGTCATCAAGCAAGATAGAATAAATGCATTAATTCTGTTCCATACATTTCTCTGGCATCCTATGTTTTCAGTTACAATATAAATAATAACAACAAATACATTTGCGAGCTTTATACATATCAAAGTCTCCTGAAAAGTTATTTGTCCGTGCAAGAATAATTGTTTACTATACATCTATTATTTTTAGTACTGCATCATCTTATAATTCTTGAATTAGGACGTTACATCTGTCTTGATCTCTATAATTAATAAATACATTTACGAATGGAAGTAATAGATTACTCACAAATATAATGTAATTTAGACATATAATGCTACTAACTTTTAATTTTTCAAATTTGTACATTTAGCTATTATGTACTTACAAACCTCGTACACAGGAAAATCTCAAAATCATTTAACTTTATCCGTGAATTTAGTGCAAATTAACCAGTGATTGTCGTTTTAAGCAATGTACTTGTATTAAAGGCGAGTGTTGGGTTAAATATGTTTATACATCCTACAAAATTTTAATGAACTTTTTTCAATACTCATTGGCAAAGGCCAATAGCACGGTGCATATCCATATCGGTACCCTCTTTGCGAAATCTGCTGAAACGGTACCCTCTTTGTACATGCACAGGCCATTCTCTGCTCAAATCAAACCAGCGATGGATAACAAGACAGTAAAAATTCATTGTAATAAGGAAAGGAGGTATGACACGTGGAAAAGATGTATACCACGGAACACTAGAATGTTTAATCTATGTGCTGATTTGTCATGTTCCCGTTTTTCATGTACTGCAACTTTACACTAAGCTACAAAAAATCAACATGTCTTACCTCGCCCATCACCTCGACATACTCTTCGGGCTGAAATGAACCTGTGGCTTGATTATATATGCATCATACATATCTAATATGTTCATTTACATATCATCTTCGGACAAATGGCAGTATATTGTCAAAAATAATGGTAAAATTCATAAAAACACCCTACTTTCAGTTTTGCAGCGGCACAGGCTACCTCTCTTCATTTGAATTTTTATATCACAGGTACCCTCTCATTTTTTAACACATAGGTACCCTCAAGGCACGACTTATGCTTTTATTTGCGTTAATCGTTAGGTATGTAATATTTCTTTATTTATGTAGGGTGTTTTTATGAATTACTAGATATGTATGATGCATATATAATCAAGCCACAGGTTCATATCAGCCCAAACAATATGTCGAGGTGATGGGCGAAGCAAGACATGTCGATTTTTTGTCGCTTATTGTAAATTTGTAGTACATGAAAAACGGGAACATGACAAATCAGCACATAGATTAAACATTCTAGTGTTCCGTGGTATACATCTTTTCTACGTGTCATGCCTTCTTTCCTTATTATATTGAAATTTTACTGGATTGTTATCCATCGCTGGTTTGTTTTTAGCAGAGAGTGGCCTCTGCATGTGCAAAGAGGGTACCGTTTCAGCAGATTTCGCAAAGAGGGTACCGATATGGATATGCACCGTGAATAGTAATCGTCTCGATCCCTTGATGGTAGACAATATGCAAACCATGGTTTTTAAAGTTGTGCTTTTGTTTTTTTTTGTTGTTGTTTTTTTTGTTGTTTTTTTCAAAGATGATAATTTTATTCATGTCTGTGGATTATTCAAAGCGTACGCAGACAAAACATGATTAACAGTGAAAATTATAAAAATGAAATTTAATACCGATTATTTGCAAAATTGCTCTTAAAACAGAGGAACGAATCTAAATATCCCACGAGCAATACCTGTAACGCCTTCTGTATTATCAAAGATAGTAATTTGGCAGACAGTTAAAATAAATTTAGAGTTATTAGTCAGCATGTCAAGTAGCTCTACGTCCGCTTTGATGATGGTTTGGTTATGAATACACATGTGACATCAACTACTCCTAATTCAGTTGTCCTCCTCGTGCATGATCCATTTTATATCTGTGAAATTAAATTAATGAAATAATATTACTTCAAATTGTTTGGTAATGTATGCACATATGGCACTTCCTACTTTTTACTCAGTTTTCCTACACGTCTACACGTGCATGATTAAATAATTCCAGTATATTTCTGTGAAATTAAATACATGAACATTTTTAAATACCTTCAAATCCTTTGTTTCACTGACACATACATTTCTGATATACCTGCGTGGTCTTAATATTGAATGAATTTTTGAAAACTGTATTCTAACACTTGTTTATTATGTACGGTGTTATTTTCAGATGACTTTTATATAATTGCAACTTTTGATTATCTTTTTAAGATCATATACATACATGGTTTTTATATCGTATTTTATTTCTGCAGTTTTCGAAGAGTTCACAGACTGCGTTGGTTTGTCCTTCATCTACATTGATTTATTAAAAACAGTGAGAGTATCTGGCGTCATGTTTGATTTAGATTGGTTTTCTGACAAGGGCACCACTTTCCAACAGATCAGTATGTACCTAATCATCTGATTTTTGAAGTACTTAATCACCTGATACTTGAAGTTGACATGTCAAAGGGTTTTGACTTTCCTTGCCATCATGAAATGGCAACACTGTCTCATACCGATCGCAGCCAAATAAACACATCTCTTGTGGATGCTTTCAAAGTTTTAATTTCACCAAGTTTTTTTTATAATTTTAACGTTATATTCAGTTTTCGTTCGTGAATTACATTTGAATGTCAAACACAGTATATATTTGAATTTTATCTCAAATATTGATATAATGTAGAAAATGTTAATATGTTATTATCAAGCCATGTCAACTTAATTTTAGTTATACAAATTGCAAACGGGTTAAATGGGGGAATTAATCTTGAATGAGATACGTCCCATGGATTATGTTCATGTCAGCAAGCCTATATTCAGCCAGACACTTGCATATCGATATTTTAACAATTTTAATGCATATTGACAAGTTTGTTTAGTCAAGCAACTTTAAAGTTTATTAAAGCGCGGGAAGGTACACACGTCAATGCCTACATCAAGCCAAATCTGTGTACGCAAGTAATTCTAAAAAAAAAAACGTAATAAAAGCACAAGAAACGGAGGTAAGAAAAAATGTCTCTTGAACTGAAATACATCTCAAACCAACAGCATATAACCATATTTTTGTAAATGCCCTCAAAATATATATTTACAAGCCAGTCATAGGAACAAAACTTTACTCCTTATAAAAAATAAAATGGCGTTTCCATAACTTGACTCACATGCGTCAGTTTGAGCGTTAAGATTTTACAATAGTTGCCGCAGTGAACTCCGGAAACGTTAAAGAACATGGCAAATTAATGCTTAGACTTGTTTCAATCATACAATATCCACAATGTCTGTTATTGTAACTTCCAGGGTTTGTTCAAGTCACAAGGCTTGTTTTAAAACTACCTGGTGATCCTGTCAGCGTCTAAATTTCGTTCAATATATCTAGATATATTTACGCTTCAAACCCAAAATATATAGATTTTATTCAGAAATCTACGCTTGGACTTTAAAAAAGAGTCATTTTAGTGTGATTTGAGTACATTAAATAATTTTAAAATTTCTGTCATTTATTTGCCTGAGTATCCCTTTAAATGCTTATTATCCAAAAAAAGTAGCGATAATTATGAAATAATTTGTCATAAAAGTAGAAAAAGTAAAAAAATTAGTACTTTAACTTCCATACAAAATACTCAGTCACCATAATTTGTATTTTCTGTCATAGAAAAAAAAATGAAAACGATGATTCCAGTAATTGGCCAATGAGTAAATTTTTTGAAACTATAAATGTACAATTTGATGAGGTTTATCAGACATCATTATATTGAAGTAAACATATCAAAGGTCAAGGTCGCTGTGACCAGTGCCTTGCAAGAGGTTAGTGTCAACTTCTCGAATAAAAGTCAAAGGTATTTACTTTAAACTTTGAACACTAGTTCATTAATATAATTTCAATTTATTTCTATAGGACAATTAACACTCTATATTTTCAGTAAATTATACTATCCCACTTTTTTAAGAAATCAGAGACATTCACTTGAATAAAATGTTAACTATAAAATAAAGTCAATTGTGCCAAGCAGGTTATTTTCTGATTTATGCCCTATAATTATACTTCGGTTTTATTATACCATCAAAAAATGAGAAAAGCGGAGAACACTGCTTCTAGAAGCGTTCTTGTTATACAATGTCCAATCGAGTCAACTGTTGTATTCACCTTGTGCTTCATAAACACTTTTATATACATGTATGCAAGATGGGGGAATTAATCTTGAATGAGATACGTCCATGCATACCATGATACTATTTAGTGTAATCATTTTCAAAGTGTGTTTTAAGCTTGCTATTTTGATACATCTTTTCAATTAGCAAGCTTGTTTGCTGTGTGAATTATCACAATGTATTACTTTTTATTTTAGAACGTCTTATAATGGACTCGCATATACAAATTTTCATTGGCAACGTCCCATGGAATAACATGAATAAGTTTAACCAGCGTTGCAGACATGTGTCCTATACACAAGGATATGGTAGAAACAGTGGTGTGGTTATCTTAACATGCTCAAGGTTTGTTCTTTACCAGGACCTACCAGTATTTCATCTATTATAATTATTATACCTAATGAGAAAATGTCATGACTAGCTCGTTCAATATTTTACCATCTGGATCGCAGCGATATACATCAAATTAAAAGACAAATTGTGAACTAGTTCAAAAAAATGTTAGAAAATTTACACTCTGTTTATAATTATGTACTTATTCGTTTGATAAGATGTTTATATATATATGAAAAAAATAAGAAGTGTCAAAATATATTCACATTCAAAAAGGTGAGTCAAGAAAAAAGAGCACATTTAAAGCGTTTTGATGATCATTGTAGGGATTACAAGGGACGATATATTACAATCCAACTGTGGAAACATACTGGGATTGCTGAAATGATTGATAAATTTCGTGTACAAACCAGTACTCTTAACATATATGCGGTTTCTTGTACAGATATTGAAGGTAGGTGCTGCCAATGACTTGAATGACTTATAACCCATGTCTTGTCCATGTGTCTTGTCCTGTTTGGTGTCCTGCTTGGCTCCTTGCCGCTAGTTCTGTGTTAAGGGAGCGTTTTATGATTTTTTTAATGCCGCACCCTCTTGTTGATTTTGTCTTTCATATTTCATAATTTTGCGGGTAGATTGTATCAAAGTGCATGCACCTTTGAATTTTTAGGCTGTATTTGAAAAAAAATTGTATTTCGAAAATGGTTAAAGGCTCATGTACAGACTCAATCAAACCGAGTCTGCAATTATCTGCAATGCTTCTGAGGGATCACTTGTTTCCAGAATTTTGTGTTAAACAGACAATAAAAAGCAACATTGTCTCCCTCTCTATTGATTGAGTGCAGAAAAGACAAATACGGATTCGACAAAAGCTGGGTCGCTGTCAAATAATAGCACTGTTCAGTCCTTGTCGTCATATGTCCGATTATTGTTACTTTACGTAAGATTCTTTGACTAATAGTATTTCACATAGAAAATGGTTTTCTATATTGGTGTTTTTTTACTGAATCACAATCACATTCAAGTTTTGATTATCAAAATTATGGAATTAGATGCTTTTATGTCATTGTTTATAAAATTATGAAAAACATTTAATACTATAGGAAAATTACTAATTCACTTTTCAAATACTGTTTGAAAAAGGCGTAAAATCAAACAAACAAACAAAACTGTTCAAAATTTTAGGTTTTAGATTATCAAAACGCATTATGCATCTCATATCTTTTGTTCAAATCAGATGATGAAACTGCATTGCCCTGTAATGAAGAACTTGGTATGGCCTCTTATGCTATTCAGGATTTTCAAATATCTGCCACATCCACTTATGGCGCATACGTACCAATAAATGCAAGACCAGGTGGTACAGGATGGCAAGCCTTAAAATCGGACGTTCTTCCATTTATCCAGGTATTCCGCTATTCATGATTGTTCGTGATTAAGTTTTAAGAGAACATTCGAACCTGACAGTAGTTTGAACTTTTGATACTATCACTTGAAGAAACTGTCCATCTACGTTGCTGAAGTTCGTCCGCCCCGCCCCCAAATTTACGTCTGCAACGATGCAAGTTGTGGCAACCTTGACCTCCCTCTGTTGCAGGATCGTGTGATGGTTGCCGTCCTTCCTCGATGATCGTGTGTTTTTGTCTTATTTTTTTTCGACTAGTAAAGCTGTGTGGTTAGCAAAATACCTTAGTTGCGCTGAAGTGACACAATATACATTACAGAAGTTGAATTGTCCAATTAAGTTTGAAATTTGAATTTGATTGTTAGTTTGTTGATAATCAGTGTGTCAGCTCTTGAAGGTAATTAGTTAACATCTGTTTACATCAGTTACTCTATATCTTTTATTTTATGAATCATGTGACCAGAAATTAAATTCCCTTTAATCAATTCCGGAAAATGATGAATAAAAATGCTTTCTTCTTCATTGCCCTATCTATATTTTAAATAAATGGAATTTTTAAACAATAAAAATGCTTACCATTTTACATTTCTACAAGTATCAAGAAAACATACAGGGAACCCAATCCTTTTAACATTACTGTCGTTTTTTAGGTACATGTTACAGTAACATAAAATTTGCTTTTGTAAGAAGAATGATATATTACAAAGTTCCTACTCAAGTAGCTTACTTTACTGCTTAGTATGTCTTTGTTACCTACCAATTGGCAGGATGTAATTAAAATATTAGGAATTGCACTTTGCACTTTCTATAAATTTGTATGACAAAATCAAATATAGATAATTAAGGCTGAATGTTTATTCAAATTTAAAATAGGTGAAATTACGGACTACTTGTATTTTGGTATTGACAAAAGCGTTATCAAGTCGTCATAATACTTTTTTTCTTGTATCAAAAGGTTGATCTTTTAGTACACACTATTGTCAATGGTATTGTAGTCTACAACTGGTACGAAGTTACCAATGATACAAGTGACAATTTATACCGACTGTACGTAAATGAGAAAGGCTGTCCATCCTTTAGACTTCAGTACGGGACCTCCCTGCAACATATGAGATGGTACAAGTTTGAGGTATCATATTTTCATCAAAATCATATCTGATTGGAGATTTCTAAATTCAGAATGATAGAATTTAATATTCTCTTGAATTAATTTTGTTTGATTATTGATATTAATGCTTATGTCGGATATTATTATATTTCACAAAATTATTACAAGGTAACAATGCAGATAGTATGCATGTAGTTGGAAGGCCTGAAACAAGTATTGAATCATACCTTCCCAGATTGGTAAAGATGAAAAATACATATTTTCCAGATTTTAAAGTGTAAGACATATTTTATGATTTTTTTCTGTATTAATTTAATTTAAGAAGCGACGAATAATCTTGTAAATTTGTCCATATTTTAACAGGATTTTAAGTTAGATATGTCACAGTCGCAGGATTTACCTCAACAATTCTTCTTCTACAAGTACTTCATCACCAGATACGTTAGGATTTATCCCTATTTCTTCCTAGCAGAGCCGGCTGGGCTAAAATTTGAACTTCTAGGATGCCGTTACTATGGTAATATTACCGTGACATTTTGTAAAGTCTTATCTATTCATGATTATTAAGGAATAAATAATATTTAAACTATCGTTCTTTGCACATTTGGAAATCATATACGAAAACCTTCCTTTATCACCAGTAATGTAAAAAAGGAAAGTTATACTTTTTTCTCATTGTATTCTGAATAACTTGTTACGATGTATGTTCGTGTTGTTTTTTTACAGGTACGTCACAAGAGAATTTACTTTTATTTAATATATACTTATGATTTTGTAAGCATGCCACTTTATAACATTTCTAGTAATGTAAAAGAAACATCTGTTTATCCCTGTGTGATCGAGAGAGGTGTCTACATGGGTTTTAATTATTTGTGGCATGGTATATTTAAGCTCTAGGAGGTGAGATTGTTTTGACACCTGGTGTTGCTTTAAGTTTCTACTACCCGAGGCTAGTTAAAATCTTGTGTCCTGTTTCGGTGCCATATAACCTAGATTGTGCACCTTAAACCTTACATAACAAGTATCAGAAATAACAGCAAGAAAGTTCATTCATGTTAGTATACTATAAGTAACTTATGATCATTTTGCAATAATACAAAAAATGTTTGTTTATTACATAGATACGGAGAGAAAAATGAACTATTTTTGTCTTTCGAGTATGTGCAACTTGTGAGGGATGTTGCACATATTCATTATCCCTCATGTACAGACTCAATAAAACCAAGTCTGCAATTCTCTTGCAATTTTGGTGTGATTAATGCTTCCGAGGGATCACTTTGTTTCCAGATTTTTGTATTATGTCACATTTATAAATTCAACACAGGTGCTCCTTCAGTGTATTGCAACAACGTCAACATGTCACGGCAGTATTTCAACAGTTCGAGGATGTTTGTACCATACAGTGGCTCGCTTGCGCCACAGTCTAAGTCAAACTCGTCGTGCGAGGAGAAATGTGCCAGTCAGTCTGACACTTGTACTGGCGTTGTAGTCACAAGTCACGAACCTTTTTGTTATTTAGCTTTAAAAAGTTACAGCTCTAGATACGATTTGCTGGCAAATGAACCGCCAGTGTATGGTTTAATACACACCGTTTACAAGGCTATGGATATTTGTTGGAAAAGTAAGTAAAGTCTATCAAATTCAGACAAAAGATCCAGACAGTATTATGTATCCCCTGTCCCGTAATGATTTGCTTTATAGCGGTAGTTTGTTTGTTTCGTCAAAGAGAATCTGAGCAAACTAGTCTAATCGACCCCAAGTCATATCGGCCCAAGTCACATCGGCCCCAAAATTAGTCAAATCGGCCTCAAATTTAGTCACATCGGCCACACAACAATTTCAAAAAGTCAAGTCAAAAATGGGGCCGATCTGACTTGAGGCCGATTTCACGTCGGGCTGATTTGACTATTTTGGGGCCGATTCGACTTGGGGCCGCTCTGACTTTGGGCCGATTTGACTGTAAATCGAATCTGACGTTGATATATTGATGATTGTTCTAATAACCAGATAAATGTTTTCATAAACAATGTCAATTGAAAATGAGTTGTGTGTTTTTGATGTCGATTGGTAAAAGATAAAACAAAAATGCAATGATCACACTAAAATATCAAAACAATGGATTACTTCGGGCGCCCAAAGGACAACACTTAAAATGTTCCAGCCTCGTTTGAATGTCAGTTATGTGTAAAAACAAGTATCTGATCTGATTAAGAAGGCCATAAAACAGGAAAAAAGACTTAAATATATTTTATAAATCAATTTTGAGGTTTCGAGGTGTGAAAACTGGTCTTTAGCAACAATAATGTCTACACATAATTACCTTCATTGTTAAGACAGCGTTGCTAACATTTCGTCATGTAAAACATCTGCAAGCAAGTGTAACCAAGTTTTTCTCAGCTTTAAACATACTGTTTTATGATACACATGTATGGCAGAATAATGATTAACCCTTTTCCTACTAGTGGCTTTAATGTCTACCAATACAATCAGTACATATATAGACCAGTTGACACATCTCTCTAATACAAATTTTGAAATTTTCCGTAAGAATTTATGGATGGTCATGTCCAGAGTAAAACAAAATGACAAGTCCGTTTCGAATAGTTAGCGGGGTAAAGGTTAGCGGGTTAAATGTTAAAGTGACATTATGCTCATTTTGTTGTTGTCAGGTTGAGCTGTATATGAAGTGTATATAAAACAAATTGAGTTTTACAGTGGTAATTGGTCTTTTTTGATAATAATAATGTTTAAAATAAAATAATAATAATATTAAAAACGATTATCCAACTCTTTTGTTAACACTAAACGCTACCAATACATTCCGAATGATATTCATATAATAGAAATAATAGAGGATCAATACCTATGCATAGTAAAATATCAAATTGAAAACAACTATGAAAATTGTAATTATCAATGTACACTAATTATATGTACTTGTATGGGCTGAATGGTTTTGATGTTTTTATATGCAGTACAAAAGCTGAAAACGAATATTTTTTCATTTAAATTTTTTACAGCTTTCTTTACATGTGACTTTGTGTTAGTTAATTATATCCGCTAACAAACAATATAATGCAAGCTTAAGCTTCATGTAGACAAAGAATGTTTTGTATTATATTAACGTATTTACTTAAAACTAGAAAATTAATATTCATTGTAAAATGTAATGATTTGCCATGATTTTTATATATTGCCATGATTATTTTATATTAAATTTTAATTATTGATGTGAGTATTTTCTTAACCTTCTATCAAATGCAATATCTTTTTCCGTCTGTGTTTCATTTCGTTGTAAGGCAATGCGTGAACGTATAAAAAATACATGCAACAATACTTGTCGCATTGCATTTTTACAGATGCATTTCAAATGAAATATACAACAATGGATTTACTACCATTCATAGTGGCCGAAACTGTTTTTACAAATAAAGTCAACATCCCACAGTCTGCTTCCGCTTTTATAACGAGTCCGCAGACGATAATCAGTCCAGGATATCCGTTCGCCTACCACACGGACTTCTTTTTTATGTGGTCAATAAACTTCCAAAACGGATTTGTGTCACTCCAATTTACAGATATACATCTTAAGGAAAAAGTAAGTTGTCATGAATATGTTATCCCATACAATCGCAAATTATTTAAAGACGGTGTTTCAATAACTTTATGAAATAAATGAAAAAAGCCATTCTATCAATACCCCTTCAGTACAAGACACAATAAGTTTTTTTTTAATTACATCTTTATTTCCATCGAAACCCGACCTTTTTCTGTCATAATGTTAAGGCACCATCAATTTGGTACACCTTATTCAATTATCGCTTTCCCTAACTGAACAAATATCAAGTCCTATGCCGATTTGTACCACTTTGAGAAGCATTTAATTGTTTATTCACTCCAATTTTCAGGATGCCTATCTCCTCTCGGAGAAGGGCAATAGATTTTGTGAGGAGAATATATACCTACAAACAAACAATCTAATATGGTTATCACGCTTGGATATCACTAGAGATACAGTCAATTACCGTGCTGAAGAGGATGATCGTCTGTACAAATTCTGGCCATCTACATTCACGATTAACAGTGACTACAATGGAAAGAAAACCAATGTTGGAACAGCTGGTCAAAAGTTAAATATAGTGTTTAGATCTTGTCCTTTGGAGTATTATAAACAACAGCCAGTTAAAGGATTTATAGCACATGTTCAAAGTAGAGGTGAGCGAAGGTTATTTCAAAGTATTTTCAGATACAAAACTCCTCAAATCCTACAAACCATATGATTTGACGCGTAAAGCTCATTTTCTAATTATTTTGAGCCTATTGATATTTGAAAAAAGGAACAATTGTTAACAACAATGATAATTGGAATAACAAAAATTCATTTGCTTTACAAAATGTACATACAAACTGTTTTAATACAGTACATAACATATGTACATAACATGAGCTTTTCTAATTTCTTACACATACAAACTATTTGAATCTCTTAACATCATATACCAGTACAAAACCTTTATAACCCTTATACCACAAACCATTCAAAATAGATAAAATAAACATACACACCATATTTGAACATCTTATATTATATTAACATATAATGACATCTCTCTTTTTTTAAATGCTATCTTTTTTAAATTAGCCCATTGAGAATTATTCTTACTTTTAATTCAAGTATACCGTGTGACTAAAACGTTTGTACTGTAAACAACAGTATTATATATTTTAAATATATTTGAATTCTTTGTTTTGTCCAGTTTAGTCGTTTATTGGCTGGGGACTTGTATTTCCTTGCAACGCACTGACTTGTTATAAATTATATTTAAGTGCCGTTACCATTTTAATTTCACTTATATAGGTCCGTTACTATTTTATACAGGTATGTTTTGGTTTTAAATCATACTGACTCGTTTAAGGTCATATTGCGACATTTTAGCTTTTATTATGATGGAGAAAAGCAAATTGGCCTGTTTGTTCATCATCTTAACATAATAAAAAGTAGATGCATTGGCTATAGAATCTTTAATTACTCAATCAATAGAGTAACCAAATAAAGAGTTTAAACCTCCTATCAGTAAACTTATATCATCTGATAGGAAATCAAATTGGGACAAAGCCATTTTTAAAAAAACTTCATGCTATAAACATTTGCCTTAACGAGTATCTATCTCTTGTAAACCGTCAGTTCAGTGTTTGCCGCGGCATAGCCAGTTATGTGTCAATGTGCTATAAACCTTAACAAACAAGAACAATCGATGTTTTGTAAGCTAGCTCGGCAGCTTCCACACATCAAAGAATCATAGTTCTTGGCGGGATTCAAACACGCAGTGGTGAGACCAGGTGGTGAAAGTTCAGCAACATTGTTGTTTTTCGTCTGAAGGGAGAGCATAAAATCGCCGCCTTGTCCGTCTCTCCGTCCGTTCGTCTGTCCGCCCGTCTGTCTGTCCGTTGTCTTGTCCGGAGCATAACTTGAAAACACTTAGATAATTTGTTTAAACTTCGCACAATAGTAGAAGACATCGAGGCGGAGTGCAATGTCAAAGAACCATGGAGATATTTACATTAAACTTTGTGGGTAGATAGATCTTAGGTTGCTGCGCTGTGCACAAGAAATGTAACTCTGCCATGCCTAATTTTGGAGTTATTGCCCTTTGCTCATTTGTACACTGAAAACATTGTCCGAAACATAACTCTAAAATTATTAAAGATATCAACATGAAACTTTCTAGGTAGATAGACCTCATTGTGAAGAAGTACATTTCAAAGAACCATAACTCTGTTCATCTCACGTTTTTGAATTATCCCCTATATTAGAAAGATATTGTCCGAGGCATTACTCTTAAACTATTAGAGATATCAACATGACAATTATTAGATAAATAGATCTCAAGGATATGATGTAAGCGCATTAGAACCTTAACTGTGTCTTGCCTAATTTTGGAGAAATTGCCCTTTAATTACTTTTACACCTGGAACTTTGTCCGGGATATATCTCTAAAATTATCAGGGATATCAACATGAAACTTTGTAGGTCAACAAATCTCATTGGGTAAAGGTGCAGTGCAAATAATCTATATATCTTGCTAGCCCTGAAATTGAATAACCTCCCCTTTTTGAAAAATCTTGTCCGAGACATAACTATATAATTATAAGAGTTTTCAACACGATACTTTATAGGTTGTTAGATCTTATAAGGCATATGTACAGTGCATCAGAACCATAACTCTGCCTTGCATAATGATGGAGTTATTACCCGTTGTTCATTTTAAACTTTGTCAGGGATATAACTCAAAAACCATAACAGGTATCAACATAAAACTATGTAGTGTAAAGAACAGTAACTCGTCCTTGCCTTATTCTTGATTATTGCACTTTGAACTTTGTCCAGGGACATAACTCTGAAACTACAAGAGGTGTACTTTCCTGTGTCAAAAACCTATTCGGGGACCATCACCCGGTTCAAACCGGGCTCTTGTTGATCTTGTTTATCATATTTAAAAGACAACATTAAAGTTTAAGATTTAAATACAATTAGTTTAAAAGTATTTGTGTATGTTTACAGACATAATGTCGTGCACGATGTCTAATTACAAGTGCATGTTACGGTCGATGGAAATAGCTTCGAGTAGCTTTATAGGTGTGCCAATGTCTGGAGACTCCGAAATTTGGAAGATATCTCTTGATATTGATACAAGTACTTACAGGTTTATTCTAATCACCATAGAGGAAATGCAAATATCATGTTTTTCAGGTATTTTCCTATCAATTTATCATTTGAAGTAAACGATTTATTTCATTCTATAGCCGTATAAAACTTTATAACGGAAACGGAAGGAGAAAATGCTTTTCAATTATTTTCATATTCAAGAAACTAATGCGTTCTTTAAAGATTAAGGAGAATACTTGTTCTCAGAAACTTTATATTCCTTAAAATCCAAGATCATATTTGATATTATATCTTTTCAGTAATAGATGTATTAAGAGGGGTATCAGATTTTGCTACCACCTCCATTTTGTAATTTATGAAAATACTGCGGCCTCCGGATAGCTGCTTGTCTAAAATAAATTAAGTACATGTATTTATTTACCTTTAACGTGGCCAATACCCTTTAACCGAAAGAAATTGAAGTTTGTCAGCCATCAGTATGTATCCAGGTAAGCAGTCTGATCAGGTACTCTTTGTATAACTCAAATAATGTATGTTATATTGCAATCTCTTAAAGTTTAAATGAATGTCTTATAATTAAACCAACCTTGGCAAACCAATAAGGCCAGATTTGAATGGGTTATAACCCCATTGGTATTGAAGGTTATAGATACTCAGGCAAATTTATGACAAAAATATCAAAATATCATAATTATGACCTGAAATCACGCCAAAATTACATTTGTTAACATCTGTAAAAAGATCTATATATTTTCGGTTTGAAGCGGAAATTTACAACATTGTATATAATTATGTTGAAGGAAAAGTAGACGCCGACAAAATCACCGTGTAGTTTTAAAACTAGAAATGTGCTTTGAACAAACCCTGGAAGTTACAATAACATATATTGTGGATATACACAAAATGTAATATTATTGAAACAAACCTAAATCCTTCTTCGGACATGTTCTTTATAGTTTCCAGATATCACTATTCTGAATTCTTAGCACTCTATCCTGGCCCACGTGGGTCAGGTTAGGAAGCTATAACACTAGCACGGTATGCCTCATGTATATACATGTTTACTCTAAGTACCAAGTCATATTCGGACAGTTGAACTGGTCATGCAAATGCGCATATTTCATACATGTAAGTTATTTGTGACTTATTGTGGCAGGGAGGTTGTTATATTTCCGCCTCTTGCAAAACTGATGACCAAGAAGCAATACAGTCAGCATTATTCAGCACAAAAGTACGGTCATTTCTAAATATGGGATATTTTTATAGGTTTGGCCGGGGTTTCAGCTTACGAAACATTCGGAAATAGGTTAAACCGATCCGATTGGTCAAAAGTTGATTGCATGATTTATTAACCCCGATGACCTGCCATAAAATTAACTGAACTTCATAAAATAGACCCGCGCACTCACAAAGCGCGCATTCGGGGTGATACTTTCTTAGATTCACGTTAAGTCAAGTTTGCCAATTCAGCGTCAGGGCGGCTTTGATACTTTCGTATGACTTATTCATTTAAGCTACGTACTTTTCTATTCGCAAGTTATAATTAATAAACGGAGAGCTATTTTGTTGATATACATTTATTTGTAATCGCGGAATAAGGGACTATTTAACCGAGAAATAAAAACTGTTTTAAACGTTTGATTTGTATTAGTATTCTATCAGAACTTGTGCTGCTTTAATAAATTCCACTAGACACAACGCGAAGTACTCAATTGTCGTGCCATAAAGCCACCATTTTATTCATTATAAAGAGAAAAGTTTTGTTCCTCTGACTTCTTAGTGAATTCCTAGTGTTTTCATTTTGAGGACTTCCTAGTGTAATACTTCATTTTGAGGAAAAATTCAAAACTAAAAAAATGAAACTTTTGCTTGTGTAACCTTTTAAGTTTAAAATTCAAAAAATGATCCAATGCATCAGAAAAAAAACCTAGTGATGTATTATTCTAACGTAGTAAAATCTTCATTCTCTGTTATTTCTTTATTTCTTCATGACATCGACCATGTAAAATTGGGTCTGGTAGTTAATACATCATAAAGAATATATACATTTTAATTAAAGGGTCAACCTTAACAATTGACAAGGATTACTGTAATATGAAGTCAACGGTAAAGCCCATTGAAATGCGTATAACGACCATGAAGGTAGTTCTCAAAATCCAGGAATATTGCCCTTGGTATCCGGATGTAGAAGGGTTTCGGTTGAGATATGAGTTTGGGCGTACTTTGCAATCGTTAACAGATGCCTTTACGGGGTTAGAAGGTAACATTAATGCGGATTTTCATCGCACTAGCACTGTAAATATTCAGATTTACTGATGGAGGATGACCTCTGGCGCCCTCCGTAAATTATTTCAGGCATGAGAGGGTACATTAGTAACACCACCGAAGTGCCCTTACAAATTTTTGCAGAAAACATGCAGAAAAAAAAACAATTTTTCAAGTCAAAATAAATGTATAAGTAACTTTTATTCAGTTTCGCAAAAGCAAAAATGTGATTTTTTTACTAAAGTAGCAAAATATATACAAAATAGTATCTTGAATTTTAATAAAAAATACTTATTTTCTATAACTCAACGTATACTGTAATAAAAATGCAACAGATCAAAAAGATGGGTTCGGTAATTGGCCATGAGTAACATTGTGAATATTATGAAAGTACACCGAATTAAAACGCTTTTAAGAAATAAAGATAAAAGTATTTTTTTCAGTTACAAAGCATTTGTTATGACATTATATCTCAATGTGCATTTTAAATTTATATATACAATCATTTTAGTAAGATGATAGACAAGTACTCATAATATACCCTAAACTTTAACGAGTTTAAGATTAAAATGTACAACATGTTTACTAGTTTGTAGCCCCGAGTTCAAAAAATGCTACAACATTAAACAGTCGAATAATGTAAAGACAACTTGGACAGAAGCATTTGAACTATGCAAACAATCCGACAGAACTCTGGTCAGTTTTGGTTCAGAACGTGAAATGCAATATGTCAAGGACTACACAGCAAGGAATAATAGCAAGGAAACTACGAATGTCTATATAGGTATATCTGTCACTGAATGTTTCATTCTCTATAGTACAGTATATTGCGTAATGGAATGACAATGGATAAGGAACATTTTAAAAAGTAAAAAGGATAATTTCCTGAACTATAATTTATATATACTCAGAAAAAAAGGAAACAAAAGAGTGGAACTCTCCCACTCAACAATGATAAGCACTAAGCAATCTGACTGTTGGAAGTCCGCTTATGCTTACCTTTAATATTTATTATATAGTAACAGATATTGTATCATAGTTTGGAGACCTTTCTGTTGAAAATGTGTCAGAGTTAAATCGTATAATATACATGCACAGTGCGTTAACTGGAGTGCAAGTATTAGTTACCCGCACTCCAGAGCATGCCCATTGATTGGCTCATTTTTCCAGGGGTTTACATATTGTGACGACAGAGAAAGGGAAAGCAACAGAAAAATCATATTCAGATGTTCGTTCATGGATTCCTTTTTGCCGTGGTTTCATATTGTGACAACAGGGAACGTGTTTTTATGTTTGACTATGATACAAAAGAGAAAGAACATCAAAACACTCGGCATTCTGATTAATACTCGGTGGGCTACGCCCCCTCGTACAAATCAGATAGCCTCGTATTTCGATGCTCTTTCTTTTACATATCTTTAAGCTATAGAAAATATACGAAAAATATTTCTGAAAAAAAAAACAAATATTATAAAGCTTGTCACATTAGGAGATTTTTATGACAAAGAACAGGAAAATGTATATTTAAATAAATATTTATCAAGGACATATTTATCAAGAACATAACAGTTTTCTGTTTGATATAAATTATGTATTAAAATACAGTTCTTTCTAATTAGATGTCACATAGTGTACCTTTACTATTTAATTTATCACAATAAAACATATCGATTGTGAAAAACAATTAAAGGGTCAAACAACATCTATTTCAAATAAGGTTATGATAAAACGGCATATCTGTTTACATATTTTATTTTGAAACAACATTCAGACGGTTATAATGAAATATTACCTATTTCGTTTTCTTATTTCTAAGGACTATTTCGTTACATGAACGCCGAAGCGGTTATAAATGAACACTGGGTTGACGGAAAAATGCTGTCCTTTACGGCTTGGTATGTATTTTATATATTACCGATATAAAAAAAAACAGCAAAAGGAATTAGTTGTTAATTCATTTCGCAATCATTAAAATGAGAACTAAGATCATCAAGGTGAGGCGAAGTCAGAGAACGCAGCCCCGACACAAACTAGCCACACCAGCAGGGCACCCATATAGCATTGAACCAAAACACGCGGGAGGACACTGGAGCAGCAAAGGGCGGGAAAGGAAATTTAATTAATGAAAACTTTAAAAGCCTGCTTTTCACTGCCGTTTCACCAGGCTCTATAATGTAAACGATTTATTTAAGAGACTTGATCAAATAACATGGACAGTTCAAGATCCAAAATATTTGAAATCACTTTCAGATACAGGTTAAATGTTAATTGAACCGATTTATTGCAAGCCAGGAACACATATTTTGTGATGTTTTTCAAAAGGAACACTATATAACATTTTGCATTGTCTTTTTATTGTAATGTATCAACGATATCAAGTTTTAAAAGGTAGGGGGCCTACCAAGCATTAATTTTATCTTTGTAGTTCTAAGCTAAAACTTCAATATGTTATATGTTATTTGACTAGTTTTCTGTTTTGAATTCAAGGGAAGATTATCAACCCGAAGAGGTATCCAGCAAACAATGTACTTTTATGACTTATACAACCCTTCGTTCCATGTCATCTGGAGAAGTATTGACTTGACATCCATTATTGCATTTGTAGTGTGCGAAATATATTATAAAAGTGAAAATGAAGCAGGTCTGTTATCACATAGTTTATTACATAACTGTTACATGTAGACGGGGGATTTTGTTTCCTTCAGGTACTTAGAAGACGAATCTATGCTGTATAACAAATAAAACATATACAAAATAGAATTTATAACAAAGAGAACTATTTTACAGTAGACAATTAGGGAATACATTCCAGATTTCATTTATGTTAATAACAATCCGAAATACGGCAATTAAATAAATAAAAACATAAATATTATATACCAGCTTGGTTACAATGTCTTTGATAGAAAAAATGTAAAAATATGTAAGTATCTCTAATAAAAAAATAACTACTATCTATAGTAAAACTTGCTATAACAGTTCAATAAATCAAACACAAGGACAAAAGACAACTATATACAATGCACAACAACGTAGAGATCACCAACCTGTCTCAATTCTTATCATTATATTAATGGATTACAATAGAAATGTCATCACAACGTTTAACATACTTGATAACAAAACAGCACATACCGTCTCTTGTCAAACATATAAAAGATCAGAATAGGGATCTATCATAGACCTAGTTTGGCCAAACTTCCTGAAGATTACTTACCTACTTATATTTCATTTATGTCGTTTCATAATTGTAAAATCAAATGACAATTAGGTGCCTTATGACAATAACAAGCGGTTTTGTTTTTAGAAATCTATGGTGAATATGATGTCAAGCTAAATGAGACGAAAGACAATTCTTCAGGCTTTATTTCGATAACAACAGGCTGCATTTGCCACGCTGAGGAGATGTCTGTAGCATGGTATTATAAAGTGGTAAGCGATGTATTAATACAATTGAAGGGGAACGGTGGGACGACCATGTTTCTTCATATGACGCCAGTACTGGTTGGTTCCAGGAGGCGGACCTGAAAGTCTGCAAGTTATAGATAGAAGTTGCAAGAACTTGTTTCGCAATCCAGCTAAAATTGTTTAAACCAATAAACATAAATAAATCTTTATTACACGTTCGCTGCTTTTCCAATAAAGTCGATAACCGTGTATAAAATGTTTTATAAACAGTTATATTGTCCTCCTAATATGAGAACGTTAGACATGTTTAATTCATCTTTTACGAATCAATAGAAAAATATATTGAATATTCGCGAGAATTATAAAATATTATAAACAAGACCAACAACAAACGGGCGACGTTTAGTGAACGCACACTCGCATAAACTAGCAACATACACGTATTATGATATCTGATATCTTTATACACTTTTTAGGAATTAAAATAAACACAGTATCATGTTCACTTGAATATATTATAATAAATTTAGACAATGTCGGAGTTGTGCAAGTGTTGTAATAACCTTAACACTGTTTCTCAAAACTTATGTTTGGACATTTGAAAAATAAACAAAATCACAAATGCATGTGCATAATGGTATAACAACAGTTGTTTCGAAAATATCAGTGAATCATTATAATTATGTATTGTCAAGTAATGATTGGTTAATCGGCATCTCGTGACTTGGATCTTGATCTTGATTGGCTTAGAATTTAAACAATCCCGCACTAAGCTAAAACCCGACACTTATCGGGTAAAATTCTGAACGGCAACGAGAGCAAGATCAATGACATAAATTATTGTATGTGTGCATAAAATATAATATATAAAAACGGTATTACGCTTAACTATCTGCGAATTTCTACATATTTTAGTCATACGGTTTATACTTACTTATATTTAGTAAGTATTCTTTACAAAGAAGTATGAAAATTTCAGTTGACTTATAATTTGACATTATTTACTTAATGTGAATGAAAACAAAAATGCATTTGTACATTCTATTGAAATTGTTCTACATACTTTCAGGGCGCCGAGAATTATCCTTTCAGAAGTATGGCTCAACAAGGATACTTTAGAACATACAAAGAATGTCACCTTGATTGCCATGGACTTCAAGCTTCCGTGTTGTCCACTGGCTTTTATTACACAGAGTTAGCTGATGGCATACCAGTATACCTTTACGTTAACTTAAGTAACAGCTTCTACCAAAGCAGCATAAAAACTATAGTTTCGAATAGAGTGTATAAAATAAAAGGTTTGACTTTACATATGGTGATAAATCTCGATCAGCAAAATATATTAATAAGCATAATTGTGTTCCCGCAGAAATATATTTGATAAACCTCATTTAAATAAGAATACGACTTGTTTTTACATGTATAACATGTAAAAATATATAAATATGTATTGGCTATTATATTTTAGCATTTTTTGCATTTTTCAACCTTTGATGAGGACCAACTTACATGGTATAGAGATTTTACAGTAATGCATTAAATTATTTGATCTTTACATAGCTGTAAAAAGTGTCACTAGCATCTTGTGAAATTCTGATCAATGCGAAAACATGGTTCCAATTTTAAGCTGTTGTAAATTATTTATATGATAAGTACTGTTTATCTTGGATATAAAAATTGTTACCAGTATTATTTGATGAATTGATTTGAAAGAGAAGGAGGTAGAAATAATTATTATATTTCAAGTGATACAATAGAATAAAACATGTTTAATATTTACTCTTATTTTTTATCTCCTGCAAGTATTCCCTCTACTTAAAATATAACTCATAATTAGTATAAACTGCAGAATAATTTTTAGACGTTTGTATCTTATAAAATATATTCACACTGGATTTTTTCCCTAAACACATCTAAATGTTCTCAAAATTTACTTATAAGAAATGAAAATATATTTTCAGATGAAATTCAACAGCAATTATCGTTAAACACTTATTCTACGTGGAGTTGTGGGAATGGTGAATATGTATCAATATTGGCCAGATGTAATGGATATGTCGAATGTTCAAATCAACAAGACGAACTTGATTGTGAAAGTATATAACGTCTTTAGACACATCTTTATATAAATGATAAATTGAGAACTATTGATGAAATAAAATGTGTATTTTTATTTTCAGTATTTTCAAGGATTTTTATTTGCTACAGTGAAACACATTTTCCCTTTTTTACTGGTTTCTTGCTAAATGCATTCAATACACAACAATAAAAGGGAATTCTTCCTACTCATATGCTAATGAAAGAAAAACGTATATAATAATTATAAGCCCCATTTTTTCTATATATACAGGATTTGTTTTTCATCTTGTTTTATGAAAATTATCAAATTTCACTCTTGGCTACTGCCACACGTGAAATATTAATTGTTCTACTTGATGAAAATTAATCTTGTATTTAAAAAAGAAACTTTAATAAATATTATCATCTGCTAATAAGTTTTGAGAGTGATTCAACAGCCTAATGAAACTAATCCAATTTCTTATAAACTAGTTTTAATTAGAAAGGAACCTACCATTTGTGTTACCTAATCAGCAGAACATTTGATACCACGTAATTAATAAACATAATATTAACCAATATAATATGCATAAATAATACTTTGATAGTGCTTGAATAAGTTTGCATTTGTAGATGCAACAATCTAATATTTTAAAAAAGGGCTTGTAACTCATATTTGAAGGTCAGCACATGCTTTACAGGGCCCCATGCCGCTGGTTCTTTTTGCTGAGTCGTTTAGGGGTTATGTTTATTGAACGCCACCCTTCCCTGTTAATCTTGTTCATCATATTTCTGCACATTAATTAGATGTTTATTTTTTTTTTTTCAAAAACAACGGCGAGAACAATAATGCACAATCTAAAATATATTAATAATAACACTTAAAATATTCTAAAAATGCTAACCCTTGTATGTATCTTTGATTTTTTTTCTTGTTTAGGCAAATGCAACAATGACCATTATCAATGCACTGATGGAAGGTGTATACATGTGTCACAGTTATGTGATTTTACCACTGACTGTTTAGATGGCGCAGACGAGTACTGCGGTAAGTATGTCATCATATTATACGACAATAAAAGTCTTATCCCAATTTTAAGCATTGAACGCTGCTTTTCCTGGTTTGACTTTGTTTATCATATTTTAAGCACTTTTGTCTAATACTTATTAAACATTTTTACAAATTTATTCAAATCATTCTTTTTATATTTACACGAAATTTTAATTACTTGAAAAGAAACACAATGCCATTGTTGACATAGCTGTAACACACTGTTTATGTCACAGTGTGTCATCAAAATGGCTGCCAACAAGGTGCTTGATTTTTTTCAAATTGAAATTTAAAATAACTGTATTTTAACAGAACTTGTTAACAGAACAGAACTTTAACACTGGTTCTTGTTGCTGGGTCATATGGGGGTTGCTTTCATTGAACGCCGTCTTTCCTTGTTGATCTTGTTTATCATATTGTTGTTCCTTTTATTGTCTTCAATTCTTGATAATGTGGCCCCGGCTAATGACAAAGTCACGTATTCCGTGTAGTAGATGAATACAGACTCTGAATGTAGTGAATTGGGAGGTCGTACCAAATTGTCTTAACATTGTCTATCAGATTTTGTTAATATTTTATCAAACATTTCTATTTTAAAGCTTGATTTAAATTGTGTTTCAGACATTTTCAATTATATAAATGTTAGGACTCTGTGATGGCCACGACATAATCTTATATTGGTATAATTTTTACACTGGGTTGTTTTCCTTGAAGTGTGTACTAGGGCATTGTCTTCTTGATACAGAGATATCCACCTTCTGGAATATTATTAACAATTACAGGGCACACGTTCTGGTCTAGACTTTCTATTCTTTTCTGAGTCAATATTCCCGACAACTGGTTGCCACTACGCTTCCCAAGACACTCATGCCGCTTAACTACAACAGATTGTCTCCAAACACCAACCTCATTGTTTCTATTTATCTTAACGACTGATTTTCAATTATCAAGCAATTTAATACAATATTATTTTGTTTACACACGGAAATTCTTTTTAGCATTAAATGTAAGTGTTTTTCTTTTCACTTTACGTCTGGTATACCTCGAAAACTTGATATTCGCCTCACTGTTCTTGAAGATATAATTCGTGGCAATGCCTGACAATGGAACTTTTTTATTAGTCATAGCCATCTTTATAATTTGTCAACCTCCGATAGTCTTCCACTTTTAGAAACATTTTCATTGCTTTCCCTGTTATTGAAAAAAAACTGACTTCTGACTGACATTCCCAATTGTTCTGCAACTTTGTGTTGTGAAATGTCATCACTTGTACACATGTACAGACTCAATTAAACCGAGTCTGCAATTCTAATGTAATTTTGTTGTGATTAATGCTTTATAGGGATCACTTTGTTTAAATATTATTGACAAAGTGATATTTCTTTCTGCTCAGTCGTCAATTATTTCTTTTGTCAGACATTTTGCTGCAGACGAGAATGGTTTGTAAACAGGCAGAAAAAATACTTATTGTACACCCCAAATATAGAAACATTTTGAAAAGAAAGTATTGTAGCAAAATATTCAGTCAAGTAAGAGAGTCAACCTAAAATATATCATTATTGCTAAAGCAGTGGTTTATCACCTTGTTGGCAGCCATTTTGATGACTCATTAGCCATAGACTAGATAAAATCAAAGACTAAGCTAAACTATTAGAACAGTAAAAAGAAATAATGTCTCAATAATTTTGGCAAAACAGAACATCGTGTGAACCTCAGTATGATGTATTTCAAATTAAGACCTCAATCCGGTTGCTCATAAAAACAAATCGGAAATAAAATCTTAGACCTAAATTAAAAACACCATAAAAAACCTCGGACTGGGAGGGAGAAGATGGTATTTTGCCTTACATTTAAAGTTGTTAAAGGTGTCTTTAAATCATTAATGATATACAATATTTATTTTACATGACAGATGAAGGAGTTTGTTCTAGTGAGACATCATTCCGGTGCCCAGAAGGACGTTGCTTACCTTTGGCAAAGAGATGTGATGGGTATAAAGACTGTTTAGATGGGTCGGATGAGATACTGTGTCGTAAGGTTTTTTTTTTTCTTAAAAAACATAGCTGATTGTTGTATTATATCAAACATATATCAAATTTAAATATATCAAACGTGTGAATTAATGTATTATGTCTTAAAAATAGAGAAAGAAAAACGCCCAAA